AAAGTCTAGTAACCGTCACCACTAGGAAAGCAAGAAGAAGTTATATGAGATTATTAGGTTTGAAAGACAGACCAGAAAATGAATTGAAAGGAAACAGGAAAGAATGTTTCAGAGAAGACTGAGGTCAGCAAAGTTTTAAAAAACTTCTAGTCCATTTTTAATCTGTTTTTAAGATATCTGGACTGTATGTCTTTAAAAAGCAAACACGTGTAAGTAAGTAGTAGCACGCTTAGTTTATCCGAAGCCTATGTTATTCTTTGGAGAGCATAACAGAGCTTCTGTGAACTGCAAATTGCTTCTAATGAAATAAGAAGCCTTTTGCCTAGTTGGTTATTGCTATAATACTTTGTATTTATGTCACAATTATGATTTCTGTTACAGAAATCTATTCTATAAAAGAGTTATGGCAGACAAAGCAATCACATGAAACAAACGCCAGTTTGTCTTGCTGATAACTAATTTTTTCCTCTTTGGAAATACAGCAAACAGAAATGGAGTTTTATTCTACAGCATTCTAAAAAAATATCAGTATATTTTTCTGTAGGCCACTGTGCATATTTATCAACATAGCTCTTTCCAATCTTATTCTACAACTAGATTTAGGATTTTATTGTGATTACACACACAGTTATTTATATTCATGTCTTTTCATGATGAAGAATGAAGATATTTTTCCTTGGATGATAATAAAGACTAGTTCTGTTAATGTTCATAAGTTATATTTGCAATGGGAATGAATTATATTTGGTAACATAATGTGAGAATTCCCAACATCCTCTTACAGGGTGGGTATTTCATGCAAATTAATTTTCTGGGATAAAAAAAAAAAGAAACCATTCTGAGCTCTTTATAGTGAAAGAAAGCCTTCTGTTGATTTTAATGGGGTGTGAATAGGGCACTCAATGAATAAGTAAAAAGCCATTGAAGCCTGAGCTGACAGTTAGGATGGGTGTAATGCGCTGAGGTAAACCACAGTGAGAGTTCTGCTGTTATCATATAAAATGTCATTGTTTCCTCCTCTGCAGGTACACAGCTTTATTTCTTTTATACTCTCGTCCTCTCAGGAAACTGCAAATCCAGTTACCATAAATATGTGTTCTGTAGAAAATTAATTTCAGGAAGTTTCCATAAATTTATAGATTGGTAGTGGTAAAATTAAGTTATACTTTTGAAACATAATCCCTTTTACTGCTACATTTATTAAAACTGGATCCAACTTTAACCCGTTTTTAAAGCTTGAACACTCCAGCTTAAAACCTTTTCTCTCACCCCGCGTTCCATTTTGTTAGATGATTCAGAGTTCAGTCAATACTAAAGTTCCATGCAAGAATTCATTCTTGCTGCAGCTGTGTTCAGGAAATACCCTAATGAGAAATTTCAGAAGGTTCAAAAGTAAGAGACTGTTAGAGATCACACAGTCTTGCCAACTCTGCCTGTGTGACTAGATCTTCCCTAACTACACTGTTTATAGTTGATATGGATATTACAAGCCTGGCCAAGCCTCTTACTCCTCAGAAGAAACAAAAACCTGCTACTCCATGGCTAAGGGACTGCAATCACTTTGTCTCTTCTCTACATGATGTCTCAGAGAGTGGGAGTAGGAGTAAGTGGAGGATCAGACATTCATTTGAAACAAACCTGGACCAAAGTGACCTTTCACACGTCTGACTGTATTTCTGTCTTCTGGTTTGTACCATTCTCTGACAGCACAGATTACTGATGTACTTAGCCAGGTCTTTTCTGAAAGGCAGCATCACCCAAGGAAGTTACAGACAGAAAGATAGTTTAAGCATCTCCTGGCTAAATGCAAGGGGAACATGCCCAGCTAGCGAGTTGTCAGTGTCTTTGATAACTGCCCTTTCCTGTCAGTCTCAACAGGTCATTCCTGTCTAACAGTCATGAAGAAAAAGTGCAAGTGTATGGTCAAGAAAGAGATTTTTAAATAAGTATTCCTCTCTGCCTCTCCAACCCTTTCATTTGAGACTTGTTCTTTTAGTTATGCTGTGTGTGTCATTCTCTGCAGATAGGATATGATAAATGGGGGTACTGATTTTATCAAGAACTGACATTCTTTCTTTTGTCTTTCTGTTTTCCTGGGGTTTTTTTTCTGTCTTCTTTTCATCCTTCCAGGGGGAAATATATGTAGAGCTGATGAATTTTTGTGCAACAATTCTCTCTGCAAACTACATTTTTGGGTTTGTGATGGCGAGGATGACTGTGGAGATAACTCTGATGAAGTTGCTGAAATGTGTGGTATGACACCAAATTTTTCAGTGCATTTATGTAGTAAAGCAAGAAGTGACATGTAACATACATTCAACATATAAGGGCATATGTGTCTAAGTTTTCTTTATTAGACATTTAAAAGTTTAACCTGAAATGTGGGATTTAGTTTTCTGTTGCTGTTGCTATTCATTTAATTTCAGATAATACATTTCAGAGAAAATAATATTTTTGTAGAAAATGCACAGACGGGAAAAATTAATTCCTGTATTGAAATACTGAGCATCATTAAATTTCCTGCTTCTCTTGTTTTGGTTGTCATCTATACTGATTTCCAAAAAGAAGTGTAATTAGACTTCTAGCACAAGATAACTTCATTCCCTAAACAAACGACTTACATTATAAACATTGTTCAAGTGTTATTCCATTAGGTCCCAGAGGTTAAAATCAAGTACTATTCATCTGTCAAGTACAAATGTGTTCCTGTGTCTGCTTAGTCTTTTGATAAGGAGACATTAAAGAAAGTTCAAGACTACTTGCTGGGTAATAGCTGAATCTTTTTTTTTTTTTCAATATGCAGTGAAGTTTCCATGCCCTCCAACAAGGCCGTACAGATGTAGGAACAACAGGGTTTGTCTGCGACCTGAGCAGATTTGCAATCAGGTTGATGACTGTGGTGATAACTCAGATGAAGATCATTGCGGTAGGTGATATTACCTTTCAAGACATTCAGATCAAAGAAAACAGCTTGAAGGCAAATTTTATAACAGAGATCTGCTTGTCAACTTCAGTAAAGTTTAACTGTAGGTTAGTAGATCAGTCTGAAACTAAAAGCAATTAAGCCTGAAATTATTTCCAATTGCTTTAATGCTTCCTGGTCTTTCCCATTGGTTTGTAGCTAAAATAATCTAAGGATGTTAAATGCTGATTTATTTTCTCTTATTAATTTGTAATTATATAGATAAGATCACATATAAAGCACGACCATGTAAAAAAGATGAGTTTGCTTGTAATGATAAGAAGTGCATTCCAATGGATCTGCAGTGCGATTGGTTTGATGACTGTGGAGATGGTTCAGATGAGCAAGACTGCAAAATAAGTGAGTTTGGCTGCCAAGTTCTGTTTCTGTGTTTGTAGCAGAAAGAAATAATTAACTGAGACTTTCATCCATGCAAAACCTATTCACCAACACCCAAGTGAATTGAAGTTGTGAGGTTTTTTTGGTTAATAGAGTTAATTATATATGACATACGACAGAAGGAAAACAAATCTTATAGCAGTTCAGGTTGCAGTAGTTTTTAGAGTAATTCTTGTGGTTTTTAAGTAGTATAGCTACATGTTAATTGCATTTTATTTCTTATCTGCAAGAAGATAAGTTTAGTATTAAATTATTTATGTGAAATGAAGTATTGTAATTAAATAGTGTCAATTTATATGCATATGTAGGTAAATACAGTACTTTGATATATTTGAAATTTACCTTGATGCTCTTTTAACAAAGATAAATTTGTTATATTATTTGTTGTTATTTCTTTAGATCTCATGTTTAACTGTTCAAATAAATCTGTCAGGGCTTTTTTTAGACATTTTGCCTATGTTTAGGTATCACTGAATATACATGTGAAGATAATGTGAATCCTTGTGGAGATGATGCATACTGTAACCAAACAAAGACATCCCTACTGTGTCAGTGTAAACCTGGATTTCAAAGAAACAAGAGGAACAGACAATGTGAAGGTGCAGATCTTTTCAATCATCCTGTGCTGTAAAGTATTAAAAGTCAACAGTGTAGTCCATTTCCTATGCTGGAGAAGGCAATACTTCTTTTCTGCAGAGTAAAAGCTGCTTCAGAGCAATGAGATTAAGAAATCAAAACAAGAAACTGAAAGGATTTACAGGATGTAGATTTATGCATTTTGCCTGGAGGGGTTATCCAAGATGAATATTGGTTGTGACTGTCAAAAGGTTCAGGTGGGGCCACTAAATGTTTTTTGTAATTTAAGGGGTAAATTATTGAAGGTTTAGTAGATTATTTAGCTGGTCTATTTGGACTCATGTTTAAATTAGTATATAAGGGCATTTTGAGACACTTAAAGTAAAGAAGGTGCGTAAAACTGAAAAAGACATAATTGTTATAATGAAAGAGTTGATCAGAAAGATAAATCTGCCTTCCCAAAAAAAATGGGCTGTGAATTAATTTCTTACTGGTGAGCAGTAACTTAAAGAAAAAGTGCAGATCACTTCGGTGGGACTAGCAAAGGGAATAGATTCTTGCATACAAAGACTTTCTTGCTTGGCTTTTAAGAAGAAGGTCTACATGGCAGGTTTTCCAGTAAGGGGTGATCATGTAGTTTAGACTATAACAGAGGCAGGTCTGTTGGAGATAACAGACATTTTTGTTCTTCAAGCTGATTTCAAGCTCTGGTGAGAACAGGTTAAAGTAAGGAGGTTGGTGAAATAAAGTATGTTTCTGAAGTAAGTTGATTGCAGCAAAAATACTATTAGTGATAATTGCAGAAGGCTTCTTTTTACTATTGCAAGATATGCCAGTGCTTATGAGTTCCTTTTGTTCATCTGCTTAGTTCCATGATGTTCTGAACATGGTAAATAACAGCATATTTAAATTGTAGGTATATAAATGACAACTCTTTTCCTCATAGATATCAATGAATGTATGGTGTTTGGTGCCTGCTCCCAACACTGCAATAATATTAAGGGATCATACAAATGTGCATGTGAGAAAAATTATAAGGAGAGGAATAACAGTTGCATAGCAAAAGGTAAGGCTATAAAAATTAAAATAGATTGACAGTACTGAATCATTTCTTATGTACACGGCTGGAAACCTAATGTATTGTATATACAATTTATTTTTAGATAAATATTTCTTGAATAGCTCATAGAAATAATGTCAAAATGACTCAGTCTTACCTTTCTTTTTGGTAAGCAGGAAATTCTTATCCCTTCCACATGAATGAACATACTCAATATGAAAGTCCATTTTCAACTCCAGCTTTCTCTACTTACAGAAATATATACACAAATAATAAAAACAGAGATTTTATATTAGCAAGCATGTAATTATTCGGGTGAAGCTTTAGAAGCTTGAGACAGGAATCAACTCTCTTTAAAAACATGGTTTAAAACTTCAGGAATAAATTAAGTACCATTATTGTGTTTTGTTTTGTCTTGTTAAGAAATCTCATAAATAATTACTAAGTATAGTCAACTAAGAATATGCTCTTCATATAAATTAGCTGCCTAGATCAGTGAGAGTGAAGAAAGAGGCACACACAGATGTTATTTCTGTTTTTATAAGGCAAAAGTATCTCACAAAATGGAGTTAATAGTTAACTCTGGGTATCTCGTAACTCATAATCATTCTAGAAATTAAACAAGCAATAATCCAGCTCCCTGAGTAAAGTTGATAAGGTTTTTATGCATCTGCATCTGAATGACTGACAGTAGGATCCTTACATCTTGCTTGCAATGTAAAGAGATTTTGGTGTGAGTTTGACTTACACCTACTCTTGTAGCCTTCAGAACCAGTGTTGAAGGTACAAGGTGTGGCTCATTATACGTTTCTGCACGTGTGTGGTGCACAGCTGTGAGCAGTACCTGATCTGAACCTCATGGCCAGTAAGCACAAGCTGTGGAAATATGTCCTAGAACCATAACAGATTGTATATCATGCTAATTCCATTTCTTCCTCCTTTGTACCACACCAGTCAGTATTGTAGGTGCACCCATGTGGGGAGCTAGATGGTGCTAGTTAGGTTTCTTACATGCTTTGCTCACATTTTCTTGAAGCAAAATTAGCATGGGAGGGTCTTATTAATGACTCATTAGTGATTTCCTCTGTGTATAATGGTGGTATCCATCAGGGTCTAGCATCATTACCTGGTATTGAAGAAGCAGTCAGATTATGACATGGGAGCAACCAAGGTTACTGTGAGTAGTGGCTTGTTGTTATGGGAACACAAGGATGAGGGCACAGCCCTTACATTTTAGAAGGATTATAATTTAAAAATCCAGGAATCACTATCTTATATATGAATTTTTTGCAAGCTTTATTGCCACGGTGGTACAGTTAATGGTTCCCTCTTTCTCTCAATGATACCTATCACAGAATGGTTTGGGTTGGAAGGGAGCTTAAAGATCATCTAGTTCCTTCTGCATGGGCAGGGAAACTTCCCACCAGACCAGGTTGTTTCAAGCCCCATCCAACCTGGCCTTGAATGCTTCCAGAGATGGGGCACCCACAATTTCTCCAGGCAACTTGTGCCAATGTCTCACCACCACCCTCTCAGGAATTTCTTGCTTGAATGGAGCTCCTCTTTCTTATGTTATATAGCAGGAGTGAGGGAATACTTTTTGGAATTTCACTCTCAGATGTTGGACAGATATTACTGGAAATGGATTGGCTATGGACAAATGTGATATAGATTGGAAATTAAAAAAAATTACAAGTGTATTCAGTACATTTGAAACCATCTCAAAACTGAGTGAACAGATAACAGAGAGCAATCTCTTATCAAATTCTTATATTACAGACTCCTTAAAATATAGTCTTAGGTGTCACAGTGTGAGCCTGGAGAGGATTGAAATAATATATTTTGCTATCAGAGTATGAAGAGTCATGTTATTGCCCAGAGTGTGAGTGCTTTTGGAGTCTTCAGCAATCAGAAAATTATTTTAAAATGAGAAATTATATCAGATAAACACCAAAAAGCTACTTGAGTGAAAAAAACCACTGCTTTTGCATTAGTTGACATTTACCTTATTTTTGTTTCATTATAATAATCCCTAGGCTCTGAAGATCAAGTTCTCTATGTTGCTAATGACACTGACATCCTGGGTTTTGCATATCCATTCAACTACAGTGATGTTCATCAGCAAATATCACACATTGAACATAATTCAAGGATAACTGGAATGGATGCATATTTTCAAGGGGACATGATTGTTTGGAGTACTCAGTTTAATCCAGGAGGGATTTTCTACAGAAAACTTCACGACAGAGAGAGAAGGCAAAGTAGCAGTGGCTTAATAGTAAGTGATCAGTCAAAGATTACATGATACAAATTTCATTTACTTGTTTATTCTGCTTGTCTAAGATGATGTGTGCTGATTTAAAACATTTAAATGTCTGAGGATTATTTTATTTAAATGGTATATATGTCTACTAATGCCTTTCCATTCAAGACTCTGACAAACTTGATCAAGTCTCTAAGAGACCACAACTATGTTTTTAAAACACTTTTTGACAGAGAAATAACAAATATGTTAGAGACTTGGAAAGATTGTATGCCATCAAGGTCTTAAGAGAGAAAAGAGAGGCTGTAAAAGACCTGTATAAGCTACACATGGTTTAAAAAAAGGCATTAATTTCAAATCACTGGAAAACAGAAAATGTAGATAGGCCAAAGACAAGTGGTCATTTAAACAAAAATATTGCCAAAGCTGTGAGAAACATTTAAAAATTAGAGTATTAAGTGTTTAATCCTTTACATGTTTGACTGAATAGTATCTTCCTTTGCATAAACTTAAATATAATTTTACACTTCATAACAGATGTGGATTTTTATAACCTGGGGTAACTTCAAGTGGACTTTACTTGAAAATGAAATAAATTCAGATTAATGTTCATTTCCTGATATTTCTACAAAATTCTCAAGGAAATGTTAGTGCTGAACCAAAGATAATGTGATCTCTACATCAATGTTTCTATAATGCTGTAAATGTTTTGGCAGAAGGGAGTTTTTAGTTTGTTCTTGGCCAATAAAAAATCAGGCTAGAAAGAACACCTGTCTAGCTGTTTCCTTAGACTTAGTAGAGGTTACAGGGATGAACTCGCATCACATGAATGCTTTTATTTACCCAATAGAACAAACAACAGTAGCAGCCCTAGCCTGATCTGTCATCTGTCATTCAAATCTTAGACATCTGAAACCACTTCTAAAGACCTCTCATCCAAGGATATTTCCTTTACAAACCAATGACAAACAATGCTAACCTTTGATGCCATTGGGGCAAAAAAGCTGGGGATGGAGACACCAGTGGACACTGTAGGTACCTTGTGTCTGTCATGGCATATATATATGAGAAGAGTGGTTAGAAAACACCACTTCCATCTGGGGTCTAGATTTTGTTAACAGAAAGTGCTTGTAAAATAAATCTAGGATAGAAAATTATTCTTAGAATTTCTGGTAGGCCAGATATGTCATTTGAGGTTTGGTGAAGGATACTTTGAGAACCTAAGTATCATTAAGATACATGGATGGAGTAATTCTCCTGTGACATTTTTTTCTGTTTAAATGAGACAGATCCCTGTGCCTGGGAAATCCTGATAGACCCACATCGAGTTCATTATGAGAAATTAACCAACTTGTAAAGACTTGTGAAATTAAAGTGTTGGGGCTTGTTCTTGTTGGTTTTAATTTTATTTCTTCTGGGCTAATATGCAGGTGCCTTAGAATCATAGAACTGTTCAGGTTGGAAAAGCCCCTTGGGATCACCGAGTCCAACCATCATCCCTACTCTACAAAGTTCTTCCACTAAACCATCTCCACCAACACCACATCCAAACGACCCTTAAACACACCCAGGGATGGTGACTCAACCAGCTTCCTGGGCAGCCTATTCTAGTGTCTAACCAGTCTTTCTGTGAAAAAAAAATCATCCTAATGTTGAATCTAAACCTTCCCTGTTGCAGCTTGAAGCCATTGCTATGCAAAGTTATTGAAAAAATGTTGGTTTTCATTATGCAACATTTTCTCCCAGATCTTCAGTGCAGATAGTTGTCTTGAAGATACTCTATCTGAGTAATACAAAGCTTTTTTACAAGTCTGTATGTGGAAAATGCACAAGTTTGAGTGTATGTGAAAGTATCTTGGACACATTTAATTTCTGTTTGTGAAGCATTTACTTCACATTGTGCTAGTCTATTCAGAATACTTTCCCAGTATTACCTCATTAATACTCAAATATTATTGCCTTATATATAACTGATCAGTAGGATAATCAGTTTTACAGTGTTGCTTTAATATTATCACTTAAACTTTGTTTTGAAAAGCTTGAGAATTCCTTAATTTCAACCCAAGTTTTTTAATGGATAAGTTTTTGAAGATTGTGTTCTAAGTTTCATATGTAGACTTTGATATGTAAATCAGGACAGTAAACTTCAACAAAGTCACCTGCATTTTCAGGTAATTACATTAATGCAAAAATCCCTCTCAACTGAGATTGCTCCATGGAATTAGCATATCAAGAGCCTTCCTCAGAGAATAGCTTTAAGTATCTGTTATTTTTCTGTGAAAAGGGGTTTAAGCTTGATACAAATTGAAGTATTAACAGAAATAGTAAATATCAACTCTTCAGACATTATTGACAGCTGCAGAAGAGGATTGCATTCCATCAAGTTAAGATGGCACAAGTGAATTGGTGGGAACTGCTGCAGCATTGTACTGCCATAATCTCTCTGAGAGATGTATAAATGATCAGGGGTGAATATTCAACACCTTAGTGACTTAAAATCAAGTGCTGTTTTTCACTGAAGAGAACACAAAGCGGAACATGAGAATAATTGTACCATATAATCCGAAGAAAACCACAGGTTTTTATTGTATTCAGTTAGTATACTAGCCAGGTGCTGCAGCCCCACTGTTTAGCAGGGGCCACTTTAGCCACTTTATCACCATATCCATGCATATACTCCCAATGTTTGCCCCAGGGCCCAGTGAAATCCAATGTGTCACTGTGAATGGAAACAATTTATAGATTGTTTTCTCTAAATATGCTTTTTTGCAAAATATGGGAACCCAGAATCTCTCATTCACCAAAAATATGAGGATTCATATTTGAAAACCATGTCTTATAAGAGATGACCAAACTCTTACAGCTTCTACCAACCTCTGAACAGCTAAAATAGATCATAGCTTAAATATGTTCTGTTAATAGCACACTATACAAATTAGGTAGGCAATTTATTATTTAACTAACATTGCAGGCACTAGTTTTAAATCTATAAAATGTAAGGTTTAGTATACAAACGTTTTCCAGCTTATGCTTTGAAATGTTTTCTGTCACTCCTGTTTTATTCTGTGAATCTAATTTACCTGGGTATTTTTTGCCTCACTCTGTGCTAAATATGGAAAAGATGTTTCAGAGGACAAAGAAGTATTTTTAAGCATTTTCTGCTCTGACCCATATTTAAGGGTGTCTAGATACACACCACAATGCACCATTACTACAGGAGAGTATGAGTTCTTGTTGATGGTAGCAAGTATTCAGGCCCAAGGAATATTGAAGAAACATCTGCACTGCTCCTTTCAGCTGTTCACTGATTATTAACAATGTCCTTCCAACAGGTTTTCTGCTCCTCCTTTAGGCTGACATTTTTATCATAACTATTTTTACTGTTGATAAAGGTAAATAGCATTAATTTATTGTTTTATCTCAAAACTATAGCTCTGTATGGATGATGTTTATGCATTTGGGAGACCCTCTCATTCTGGAATTATTGGGTTGGGATTTTTAAATTTATCCTACTTATGTAATACAAATGGTGGTTTGATGAACCATTGCACCAATTGGGCTGCTCATCTGTCTAGGAAAATCTTCTGTTTCACCAAGTAAAAGTCTAAACATTTTCTAGTCTTATTCGGTCTCATTTACTTTTACTGTTCTAATAATATATCATTAAATACAGTATTATTTTTAATGAAGATATTTTCAGCAACAATAAATCACTGCTTTACTTTCTTCCCAACAATGCCATGCCAAAAATATCTGTAAATAGAGGAAATAGTGCTTGTTTGTGATATAAATTAGATTTGTAATTTAGTTTTCCTGTGTTAAAATGCAACTGCAAGGTGATGGGTTCCTGCTACATGTTTAACATATATTTTTTCCAGTCAAACTTAATTTTAGTTTTTGTTTGTTGCTTTGGTTTTGTTTTTAAATTTATCATTCTTTACATTTGCAACAGGTTTTATGATAGGAAGGAATTCTGATCCAAAGTCAGGCTGACATGATCTGTAGTTGTGCAGAGACTGTCGTGTCATTAAAGGTGATTCGGCTTCAAACCTCAGTTTTTCTAATAAGTTGTAGTTTGTTATATTTAGCATCAAAGTGGGATAAAATAGCTGTAGAAAATATTAATGTGATTTCGTTCCTGTGTTTTCATCTTTCCTCTGTATGCAAAATCATTCTTCAAAATTATCATAATCCAAATAAGCTATTAGGTAAAAGCTCATCTACAGTAAGTGATTTTCCTAGACAGTATGAGAAGGTGCATAAGACATCAGAAAGATGATGTACCTAGGCTGAAACTTAATGAACACAACTGAGAATTACATGGCCATAGCATCAGCTAGTGCTTTTTATTTCTTCTTTTAATCTCTTATACCAGATGGCTGCTTTCTATTTCTTCAGTAAATCTCCTTGTTTATTTGATATTTAATATGTGCCCCAGCATCACTGGAATTTCACTTCTGTGTAGGTGAGAAGAATGAGGAAGGCTCAGTGGTACTAAGCAACCCAGCCTTGCTCAAGAATATTTGTAGGACATCCCATTGTCTCATCTGCTTCTGCTACCAGCTTTTTGGAACCTATCTCTCACTCTGCATGGCAACTCACTTCATGTGCTTAGCAGGTTCCCAGTAAAGCAGTCTTACAGCTCTTCTTTAGCAAGGGACTGGACTGTCCATGATAGCGCTCTTTAAGTAGTATTTTGTTTCAGTCTTGTAAGCCAGTGTCCTTAACCCTGGCACTCTCCAAGGTGAGGGTCCTTGACACAGGTGCCTGACTATAACCCAGGACTAAAAGGAGTTTGGATTACAAGCACAGTGTGTTTCTCAGCAAAAGCCCACACTTTCATGTAGTTTGTCTTTTATGTGAGCATTGCTTGGATGATGTAGCAAAAAACTCCACAGATTTTTGCATGCAAACACTACATTTCTTGTGGAAAAAAAATAGTTCCTTTTTGTTGTATTTCTGGGAGCCTCTGCTGCTGCTATCATCCTTTTATAACAAAGAATTATCATACCTTATTTTGGTTAACTTTTAAAAGAGGTTGTGGCCCTCTTTATAAAGAAACACTGGTGTGCAAATGCAGTGATTGATTTTGCTGCTTTAATACTCATCTGAATAGAAAGTCAGGGTTCTGTGTGTCTTTAGAACGTGCAATCGATGACCTTTTTGCAGAATTAAAGGTTTCTGAACAGTGAACTATCTAAATTCACCCTTGCAGTCCTGTTATTTCACCTAGAGAATGAAATGACCTTTATTTTATTATGAAAATAGTCTACAAATGTCTTGTGGCATTAGGGAACTCTGACACTGGAGCAAAACAAGTTATTTTAGCTTTTTGTTTCCTGATTTCTAGTTAAGGCATTTTGTAGCATTCCATAAATGCATTTGTTAAGGAGTAGACATTTTTGCTCATAATTTAACTTGATGTCATTACAGATAAACAGGCAAACAATTGCATATGTATTTAGCTCATGTGGGTCTGGAATTCTTTATGATATGCTGTATTCATGTTAGAAGTACTTGGATAATCCTACTTTACAGATTTTACTCCTCTTTGCCGGAGTTGTAGTAAACTTCAGAGAAACTTTTTCATATATGAACTTCTGTTCTGATGACCTTTAAATGTTGACCTTCATGTTAACTCTGAAATCATGATAGAGATTCTACAGTTTGTAATTTTGATGTTACAATCAGCTAAGTCTCCATTACCTGTGAAGCTGAATATTGCACTCTAGTTTTAATCAGTGGTGGAACTTTCGTTATCAAAAAGGGAAATTAAAGGATTTCCTTACAACTGCATGCTAGTATTGGTCAGAGTGCAGAGGTAATTTTTTGCAGTTTTCTGAACTGCAGTAGTTCGTATTTATCCTTAGCAGACAGCTGAGCACCTGTACCCCAAGCAGGTCTCAAGGACCATATTCACTGAGTGCTTTGGGATGGGACATCATATCACAGTTCTGCGTGGAGTATAATGGCTGGACAATCTTAACTCTTTCTTTTTTTGAATTACAGTATTTAACATTTATTTGCTTTGGTATCAATCATTCAGATAGTTCATGCCTAAGTGCCTATTTCTTAGTTTAGGCAGCCTTAGACTTGAGAAAACAGTTTTGAACCATTGACTTTTCTCCCACATGGAGTAGAACTGTCAGCAGGTCACCTATAGCTTACCACCTACGAGAGGAATTTGTTTTTCCAATGCAGTGTTTTTAAATATTTTACCATATTAAAGGTCAAAGTTACTTAACTGTAAAAAGTTACATAAATCTATCTGTGTAAGTCTGACTTTAATGTCTGTTCCTTTTAGTGCCCAGAATTCAAAAGACCTAGAGGCATTGCTGTTGACTGGGTTGCTGGAAATATTTATTGGACTGATCATTCCAGAATGCATTGGTTCAGCTACTATACAACTCATTGGACTAGTCTGAGATACTCCATCAATGTAGGACAATTAAATGGACCTAACTGTACAAGACTCCTTACCAGCATGGCAGGAGAACCATATGCAATTGCTGTAAATCCTAAAAAGGGGTACGTATTTTTCAACATTACTCTGTTTTGGTAATTCAAACAAAAATGCAAACTAGATTAAGACAAGTCTACCAACATCTAAACTTTTCCAAGTCATTTACTGAACTTTACTGCTCAATTTACCTGCATGTAAATCAGGATCAGTGATCTTGCATCTTTCAAGTACGTTAGAAAGCTGACAATAATTTAGTATTAGTCAAATGTTATGAGGTTCTGTAGAAGCATCCAGCTGATTTTTTTATGTTTAATATTTTAGGATGATGTACTGGACAGTTATTGGGGATCGCTCTCACATAGAGGAGTCATCTATGGATGGTAGTCTGAGAAGGATATTGGTTCAAAAGAATTTACAAAGACCTACAGGTATACAGTTTACCCATTTCTCCTAATTACACGGCACTTGCTAAATCCCCATAGGTTTGTTGGCTGAACTCCTGTTTCTCAGCTTGCACAGAAAAAAATGCATACTTGAAAAATACGTATTCTGGTTATCCATATGCAGTTACTAATCAAAATTCTTAGTTCTGTTTTCAAATGATACATCTTACTATTACTTTAACTTTTGTTACAAAGTTTAATGTGATTTTTCAAAGCAATACCAAAGGACTGTATATAATAAGTGAAAATATAATGTATTCAATAGCACTTAGCAAGCAAAATCAATTAAAGAAACACCAGTAAGTAGGGAGACACATTTTTTTTAAGAATGCATATGACATTTCACAGCCTAATATAGTTACATTCCTGAATGCACTGCAGAAATAGTATAAAACAAGGTTTAAGTATTCAAAGGAGCAACAACTCCATTATCTCAGTATTTTACAGAGCTATTTTGAAGCTTGACAGTACATGTTGAAATCTTGTGAATTACCATTAAGACTCCATTGGCAGGATAACAGTAATTTTTATGACAAAGGAAATGCTAAATCCAGAACGAAATCTATCTCTCTCAAAGAGCAGCATCCTGTCTTGAAACCACAAATGATTTGTTCATGACCCATTTTCCCATGCAATATTTGATGTTTCTCCAGGCTTACAATGATAATTTGTTATTACTGCATTGCAAATAGGGTTGTCCAACTCTGGTACATGTTATCTATTGAAACAGGCTTCTTTCAAGAGGATGCTATCTGAATATCTAAGCACCTCAGAAGCTGCCACTATCACAGCAACAAGTAATAATATTTTAGCAGATTGTTCAGTCCCATGCTGAGGTGGGCTTATGGTGTGATGTGCATGCAAATTACACTCATCTCTTAAAGGAAACACTCTGTCTTTATTGATGTGATTAGCTTGAAATACAGCAGTTTAAGAAATCACACGTGATAAGGAAAGCTTTGAGGAGTGGAAGCTTATGCTCCTTAGGTAAATAAAGGCCACAATAGAAATAATATTAAAAAGCACATAGTCAATAGTAAATTCAATAAGAAGCCTCCGAATATTCAGACTGAAAGACAACAGAATTTCATGGTTATCAGAGTTGTTTTTTGTTGTTTTCTTTTTACTATCAGTATTGGAGTAGTGAAATTATAGAATTTTGTAGTTAATAGTGGGATCAAACCCACTTGCATCTGAAAATGCAAGTATTTAACTTCTTCCTGACCAGAAACAGAACTGCAAGAGCTTTTCTTCATCAATTATTCCTTGACATACTTTATATAGAAAAGTTTCATATATGGGCCTGTCTACATTTAGTTCATAGTGGAAAGTGGACGTTTATGGAGTCTTTGCATTTTGGTCATATATTTCACTCACATCTGTGTCTTTGTAGAAGAAAAGCAAAGGAAGAGTCCAAGCCTTTAATATTTCTTCCCAAATGAGACTTTACTACTATTGTTTAGATGAAGTTTAAGATTTTACTGAACATCTGTGTTCCACTGCTCTGAAATTTATTACTAAATATGCCTTCCCTATTTTAAGTAAGAGAGAATGATGGTTTGAGAGCATTTGGGCTTGACTTCACAGGATTTACATAAAAAAAGACTATCACAGGAATACTCTCTATATAAACAAAAAACAAGTACTTTTTTACATTGTGATATCTCTGATACTTTGAAAGATACATTAAGAAAGTTATTTGTTTATATTTAAATATTTTTCTTAAAAGGCAAAGAATAATTTAAAGGTGGAGACTGGGGACTGCTTCAAAATATTCGCCCTTTACAAGTACCATGTATGACACAGAACTGATACACAGTGATTATGTTTTGCCAGACATGATCCACTTTAGCTGAATGCCTAAATGCCAGTGTTTCTTCTAAAGAGTTTTTTTCAACAGAGTTGCAAATGCAAAAATACTTTACTGGTCTATGCATCAGGCTTCCCACACTTCCTCTCATCTATCTGTAGTTGATTAATTTATGACCTTAAGAGGAGAATTTTTGCTATGTATAACTTCTTTTGATGTATTTTTTCTGACTTACCTACTTACATAAATAGGAAGAAAAAGACTTTTCCCAATTCTTATTAAAAAATACACCAGAACTTCAAAAGCTCAGAATGAAATTATTTTGTGGTTCAAATACTTTTTCAGGCTGAAACTTTTGACATGACCCACAACAGCTTATTAATCATTTAATCACCCTCTATGAAATATGGACTGTTTGATTTAACTATTTAGTTCTGGCCTAGAGGCAGGGTAGTCACAACGTTCTCTGTCTTTTGTTCTCAGTTGTGCTCCCAGTCACTTGCTCTTGTGCTTTGTTTTAATTTGTATGCAAATATATACATTTGTCAGTATTGCTCTTTAAGTCTTGTGACACTCATTTAATTGAAAAAAATCTGATTTTTAATTCTGTAGCAATTACTACATGTGAAATATTGGAGATAACAAAGAAAAACACAATTTTATTCTTGTGGAAGCAGGAGAGGGTGGGGAGGCTCCTTGACATCTCATTGCCTTGTTTTTAACTCCTGGTCACAATGATGCTACTGCTTAGAAATCTAGTATTTTGGTGGTAGAACAAATTGCAGGATTACATTCTGTATTTAATTCCCACCTGGTATGTAAGTCTACCAGCTGAGGATAATGGGTTTGAAAAGGTACTGACCTTGGAAGAGTAAGTTAAAGAAAGTAAAAAGCTCACAGCTGTGTCAATGAGAAGGTTTAAGCAGAAGGTGTTATATTTGATTCTCCTTGGGTTCCAGTCGTGATTGTTTCATTGTCACCACATTTTGTGTTCAAAGAATAGGAACAATATGAAATTGTAGTGTTACATAAAAATAGTTTGTTGGGTTTTTTTCAGGTTTTATATCCGTGATTGAACTTTATTTTCTTTGTAGGTCTCGTGGTGGATCAGTTCAGTCAGCGTTTGTTCTGGGCTGATTTTGAGTTATCTGTTATTGGCAGTGTTCTTTTTGATGGTTCTGATTCAGTTGTGTCTGTGAGCACTAAACAAGGTATGGAGAGTTTTGCTGTAAGATGGTTTCTATTTTCTTTGGCTGAAATAATAAGCAAAAAGCAGGGATTGTTAAGTAATATTAATTTCTCAGGCAATACTTTAGATGCTATCTAAACAAATAAATATTTAAGATAATTGAAGGTATTTTTAGCCTTCAGATAATCTCATAAAATTACTTTAGGGAAACAAAGATTCAGTGATGTGTGCAAATCTCCACATTTGCTATCTAATTATTAGTTTCTTAGGTATCATCAAATAACATTGTGATTAATATTTGTGCTTGGCCTCACTTGGACCTTCATAGCAACAGGAGGACCTTCAGTAGTCAGAAATTAGAGCTGTTGCAAAGCACAGGAATTGTATAGTTTATAGAATAGGTGACCTGAATCAGTCCTGGGAAAAATAATGGATCTGGCTTTCAGGTCAGTAAGTAATCACAGAATTCTGCTAAGGGAATGTGAATAAGGAGAGATTCTTTCATAGGAAAAGAGATTCTGGTTAAACAAACTTAATTTTTTTAAAGGAATGCATGTTGGCTTTTTAAAAATTTGATTACATGTAACTATACATGGAATTTGAGTAGAAAAGAGAGGAAATATGAAATTAAAAGATAATAATTTGAAAACAGGCTTTTGGGGGAAATTTTTTAGTGGCAGTTGGTAGTGGAGTCTAATCAGGTTGATACTACATCTGGTGCTGTTTTAACTGACTGAATCAAAGATCTGGAATGCACCAGGGGCTCCTGGAAGATACCAGGAAACACCTCCCACAATGCAAGTTGAATAGAACCAAATTTAAATGATCTTGAGACTAAAAACTTTGACACATTGAATTTAGCAAACATAAAATAATCAATTTTAATTTATACCTATTTCTATTGAACTAAAATATTGAGTAGCAATTGTTCATAGAGTGGAAAAAACACTAGAAAGAAACTGGATAAATAGAAGTGAAATAGAAAACCATTTTTAAAGTAAATAGGATTGTCAGAATATGTTTTGTACAGCAAAATAATGCTTCTTTCTTGTTGCATACTTCTACTTAAAGTGCTGCAGCTAAGTATGTTCTAATTAGCTAATTGTTATGGTGGGATTTCCCTGCTCTTCAGTACTCATCAAGTTTCTGAGGCTGAATTGTGTGGAAAGTTAATACAAAGCTAGAGATTGGAGTTGCTTGTAGTATGGGAAGAGTTCCTTCTAAGAAGATGGTTTTTTTTAAAAGGCAGTCCTTGTGGGTACAAAACAAATTGTCTGAATAATAATAATATCTTGAGGTGGCAATTGCAATAAAGCAACTGAAGTTATTATTTAAACATTATTGTTGATGATCTGAATATGAATGTATGTTTGTATTTATTATCCATTTTTATTTAAGGTTTACTGCATCCACATAGAATTGACATTTTTGAGGATTACATATATGGAGCAGGTCCTAAAAACGGTGCATTTAGAGTACACAAATTTGGCAGGAGCCTTGTAGAATATCTAAATGTGGATGTTGATAAAGCAAAAAGTGCCTTGATTTTTCACCGCTACAAACAAATGGACTGTGAGTAAGCATAATTACTTTAAACTCAACATTGGGCAAATTCACCTCAGAGGGGAAAAAAGAATGTAACCAAGTTGTACAAATATAAACCAGAGCCTGATTGCACAAACTCAAAATAGATTTAGTAATATTTCCTTATATAAGTTTAATTTAGATTTTATGTTGCTTTTTCTCTCCTTTGAAAGGACATCGGACAAATGTTTGCCTTGTGTACCCAAACTGTAAATGAGATATAAAAACGTTAGAAGAGAGCTGAATACAAATTCCTCCAGCTACAGCCCTTGGAGGGTTTTTACAAATCTATTTTTTTTTTACTGGAATAAATTCTGTCTTGGTGTGAGTCCTGCATTGCTACTTGAGTGAGTGTGTTCACTGACTTCAGGCTGTCGGTGTCGTGACAGCTGGAAGCGTAGCCGAATTTTTATCTGATTTATTTTTTTCCCCCTAGCTCTACAACTTGGTGTCTTTCTAAAAAAAAAAATATAAAAATTAAATACATTGTTTTTAAGTTAAAATTTTCTCTTCCTCAACAGTGCCTAATCCATGCTTGGACCTGACTTGTGAGTTCATTTGCTTACTTAACCCTTCTGGTGCAACATGCGCTTGTCCAGAAGGAAAATCATTAGTGAATGGGACGTGCATTGATCAGAGCCTCTTAGGTAGGTATTGAAAACTGCATAAGAAGCAGTGAATGCAGATGTGGTTGGGTTTTGTCATTGCAGAAGACTAGGCTGTCTGAGAGTCAAGAGTTTTGTGATGTTCTTTAACATACATATTACTTCTTTGAAATGGAATATAAATATGAAAAATCAAAATCTCTGATTCGAAGAAACTGCTTTTAGTCATCAAAATGAGAAATGAACTTTTAGCTGAACAAGACAATATTTAAATGTGTATATATGTTGACCAAAAGAAGTTTTAAAATAGTATTTTAAAAGCTCTGAAGCATTTTGGATTTAAAATTCAGCCTTAGCCATTCAAGAGACAAAAAAGACCATAAAGAAATACCTCTGCTTAGACTGAAGCAATAAGCAGAAGTCAGTAAGAGCAGCATAGCAAATCATAATGACATTGAAGTAACAGGTGAAAAGAAAAAAATGTGAAATATTTTTATCTGAAATTGTATCTTTCAGTAACATTTAATAATGACTAATGTCAAGACACAGGAAACCAAACTTACATGGTAAAAGAGCTACCAGGTTCTTGTTATGTTTTAGGGGTACAAAAAAAATGTATCTTTTCCAAACAAGAAAATTAGGAAGTACTCTAAAACTATTCCAGTTCTAGTTGAGGCAAAACCTAAAGTAGTCTGACAGCTGGAATGAATTCTTAGCCAGCTTGAACTTTAAAAGATTCCAGAAAAAAGAAGGTTCCAGACTAAGATTTCTTTGTGTATGAAAAGTCAGAATGTACTAGGACATTTTTCTAATGTTTAATTCCAGGCTCAGATGTGTAAGTGATATGTATTTTTGTGAGATCCGCAGTATTTAAAATGCTCAATTTAGCAATTCAATTAATTTAACTGAAATGTCATCATTCTGTGGAGAAAATCTCACCTGTTTATACTCCCTAGTCTTTAAATATTGAGTTAATACATCTGTTGTTTAGTGTTTTATGAGGAGGTATTAATAAAGCTACTCTATCTAGCAGCATTTCTCTTTCTGTATCAGAAAATTAGAGAATAATTTGGAGAGTAAACAATACTAGAAAATAATTCTAGATAACAAACCCATTCATATTTTTTGCTTATGTAGGAGCACATTGTGTGCAATGCATTTACAGCACCAACTTTTGTACTTGCTACCCCATCTCTAGCAGAAAGACAGTAAATGAAAGCTTTATTACTGTACCCCCTTGGAGGAATACCTCTCCCTGTGTATTTATATACTAGTAATACAACTATAAAGTAGTTTACAGCTGGTTTACATCAATTTTCACTGTTAGGGGAGAAGTGATGTGACTGAACGAGATGTAGTAGAAAAGATTAATGTACTCTACAAGGTTTGTAATTCTCCAGACAAATCAGTCTAAATACCAGAATGCATCCCCCCTCCTTGCCCCTCCAGGTGCCAGCTCTTTGTTCATCCAAGGTGGACACTTGCTGCCTGGCCATCTCTGACTTGTTGTCATCAGGACCCAGAAAATCAGCAAGAAAATGATAAGATCTGCTGATACAGCACCACCTGAAAGTTATTTCAGATGACCCATAGTTACCACTTAGGTGTTGAAGAAAGGACAAATACAATTTTCACTGGTGACCAGTAGTAATTTGATCCCATTATTTCAGTAATTCTACAGCTTTACTAGTGGAGCAAAGAATTGTGCCATGGTAGAGTTTTCAGGAAATTGTCTTTTTATTATTTTGAATTATTTCACTGCTGGTTGTAAATTTTTATAGATAGACAGTAAATGCTTAGAGAAGCATTTTTAATGTATTGATAATTTTTAGTATCTCCACAAACTGCAGTGTCATTTATGCCTTTTTAAAGGGCTGTTAAATAAGTGTTTCTCAGGTTTCTGCTTGCAATTATATTTCAAGTAATGTCCAGCATAGGCTTTTTTGTACATTTTTTTCTGGTAAGTTATTTATGTAAGAGTAGATTGCAGTTTTTCTTAGTCTCACAGATTATAAAGTATGAGTTGAAACAGGTCTCAGTATCACAGCTCATGAACAAGTATATGCTTTTGCATTATTCTGGCTTTCTAGTAAAAAGTATGAAGTGGATATTATATATATATTTGTGTAATGCTGACACTCCACTTAGGCTGCCAAGGATCTGCAGAGATTCCTGGGAAGATGAGAGTTGACCTCAAGATCAGCATCTAGAATTAATACAGGTTTATAATTAATGGCTTGCCATTGATAGGTCACTAATGGCCTGAAAACAAAAAAACATTATGTAGTATATCAATAAATGCCTTCTCTTATTGGAAGTCAAGTTCTAAACCAGTTTCTTTTCCTTGAAGAAATTATTCAGTACAGGGAAAAAAATGTCTGCTGTCTTCCTTTCCTTTTCTGATGAAGAGCTAAAAAATGTATATGATATATTGCAAGCTGCACATACTTAATTTGCTTAAATACATAATTATATTATCTTCATTGTCTCACAGCATATTTGTCATAGTTATATAGTCTTATATATTCATCTTTTTTTTGTTATCGTTGGTCTTCAGTGAAATCCTGATTCAAAGTCAGTTGAAATAGTCTTGTTGGTTTTGGTGGCTTTCTGGTTTGCCCCTAAAAGAAAGAAATCCAGAAGATTTTAATTTGAGACATGAGTATCAGAGAAAAAGTGGCTTGATCCACTGAGTTGATTTTTCTTCACAAGTCCCATGTGAGGATTCTAAATATTGAATCTTCCGTGGTTTTCTGTAAGATTGACTGTTGGTATCTAAAGGGTTGGGTGCAGGGAGGATGGAGCCAGACTTTTCTTAGTAGTTCCCAGTGACAGGATGAGGGGTAACAGGCACAAGCTGGAACATGGGAAGTTCCATTGAAATATGAGGAAAAATGTCTTTATAGTGAGGGAGACAGAGCCCTGGGACAGGCTGCCCAGGGAGGTTGTGGAGTTCCCTTCTCTGGAGACATTCCAGACCCACCTGGATGCAGCCCTGAGTAATGTGCCTAGGGGGTCATGCTTTAGCTGGGGAGTTGGACTAAATGATGTCTAGAGGTGCCTTTCAACTCTGACAATTCCCCAGTTCCATGACTCCAAACTGAATCAGACAGCTGTCTCAGCAGCATCTCACACAGCTGACAAGAAACTGCTTTTGAGGTTGATTTGGCTTTTCCAGGCTGCAGCTATTACAACATATGAGTGTTGTGTCATTCAGAATGTTTTTAGAATAGAATGAAAGTGCATTCCCATGTATTCTCTGACAAGCTTCCATCTCATTTCTCCCTAGATGATTATGATTGACAGAGCAGAGTTCTTTTCTGGTTCATTTCCTGCCTTTAGCAGGCCTGACGTCCCCAGTTTTGAAGCTACCATTTCACTTTCAAACAGGTGGTGCACCACTTCACTGTCCTGAAAGAGACCACTGGATTTTCATTCATTAGGTTTCTTATATCTAATTGTCTGTAGCACAATGAAGCTAAAAAAATATCAAGAGGATGAAAATACAGAGACTTGCACTGGAAGAAGACAGTGAAAGAGCAACAGTAATGAACATTTCCAAGAATTCAGTATGCTGGAGCTGCACGTTTATCACTTTCATTTTAAGAAGGGAATATTTGTGCTCTTTTGGCTGGATGAAATGCCTCAGAAAAATTATGAAGACTCAGATCTGAAGTTGCTTCTGAACAGAGATGAAACATTTAATTTATCATGGTGTTTCCTTCAGCACATCTCTGTGGGGACTTGCCCGCTGCAAAGAGAGATTGCAGGCAGACCAGGAGCTTTGACTGGGGATGTAGAGGTTATTTCCTGTATACCTTCTTTTTTTACCCACAAAGTCTGCCTCAGGGAGCTGTACTAGCAAAAGCTGTGACAGCTTAATCCACGCTCTCTTGATTTCTGTCCTGCTTTCAGGTTTTTTAGCTAACAAATAGATCCGGAGTCAAATACAGAAAGCTACTTCAAAATTGAGAAAAATCTTTTTTTACAGCAGAATCTTCTGTATTTACAAAAGGGTTACTCTTGGAACTGGTATTTTCCAGAAAAGAAGAAAATGGTTTATAATACAGCAGGTGTCAGGGTTGGTTTTTTCCTCACTGTGCATCCTTCTCTTAGCCCTTCTCTTCCATTTAAAATTGTAAAGAAAATGGATTTTTGAAAGAAAAAAGTGTGGAGACAAAAAAAGGAGGAGAGGCTGTCTGACAGCATTCAGACAATTTGGGGATTACAACTTATCCAGATACATTTCAGCAAATGGAACACTGGCAGATAGTAAGACCTTCATCAGGAAGGGCAGGAAGATTTATACAACCTCACTGTAAGATTAGAACTCCACACCCTGTCTTTAATAGGTGCATTCAGCTCAGTGAAGGTTGAGCTACACCCTTGTCCCAAGGATAGGCAAGAATAAATATGTTTCTGCCCTATGAGATGAATGTTTTCCACTGTGGGGAGGGAAACTGTTGATATCCCAAACAATGTAGTTCATTAACTTCGTGCTGCTTAGCATCATCTCTCTATTTAACTACTAGCCTGGAAATTGGTGGGTATTTGGAAGGGGAAAAAGGAAAAAGTAAGATGCATTTTTCTAAAGAAAGAAAAAGGTTGTTATAGAAATGCCAATAGAAGATGTGTGTGTGATTGGGGGAAAGGGATGGAACATAAAAAAATTGAACAAGTTAAGGAAAAAATGCCAGTAGAGTTCACAGAGTTCAGTTTTTCTGCTTTATCAGTGTTCCTTCTAAGATTTTGCTTTTACTTTCAGTTAAAGGAAAGAGTCAAAGATGGAACAAAAAAGCTGTAAGTCCATAAACGTTTGTGCCAGTCATATCAGAAAGAAAAACTACAAATCAGTTATTTGATTCTTTATTAAAGATATATTAAGATTGAATTATGCAAAGCCAGGCAGCAGAAGATTAAATAGCCAGGCTAGGAGACAATATACAGAATTATATTACATGTAGCTCTTTCCTTTCTTTCATATTGATCCAGTAGCTAGACTAGGAGTACTATATCAAGTGAAATTATTTACTTTTGTCTTTTCAGAAGTGAAAAGAGCAGCTGGGAGGTCTTTTAGTCTGAGTTCCAGCGAGCTCAGACCAGTATGGAATTGAGTCCAGAAACTTCTCCACTTTATTTATTTCTTTAAATAATTTTAAAATTTGTTCCAATAGTGGTTAATTACAAGAGCTGTTCCAGCTTTTCTTTCAGAGGTCTTTATTCAGTAATTCAAATGAAGAGTATTCAGCTTTTTATAACAATTCCTCTCTGTCTCTCTCCAGTATTCTTTTTCCTCCTGTCTTCTCCTATGGGACCATTCTGCTCCTGTCTCCCACACAAAGGCATCTGGTCCCCTTTTGTACTCAGCTGATGTGAATCAGTGAGAGCAATTTGATTCTTGTATTTACTTTCAAACAACAAAACAGCAGCTTTAAAACCCCTATATTATTAAAGCTGAACATGGTATTTTAAAACTGCCTTATCCATTATATCATTCAATCCTGTTTCTTAACTTATTTAAAGTCCAAAAGTGTTGTAGTAACTTTTCTTGGTTTCCTATTAGATTTTTGTTGAGATTCTTGAATTTAGAATGTTTCGTAGAGAACAAGATCAGTAGCAAATTTTAATAATCCTATGATGATACAAAAGATTACAAACTTTTCTGTTTTTTCAGGAACCTTTTCAGTTGACCATTGCATAAAATTGCACCACATGTTGCATTTTAAAATTATAAGACATGAATGTCCTAGTCTTTGCAAGCCAATTGGATTAGAAAATTGTTACTGTGGGCAATTTTTGGCTCAGGATGCTTTTTCTTGAAAATATAAAGCCATATATTTCTTGGCGTGGTTAGAGTAACTTTTAAGTTTGTAGGTCATGTTTTATAGTCCTAAATGTGCCTTTTGATGCTGTCTTTTTATCTTTAATTCACAGTCTGTCCTAATTTCCATATTTTTTTTCAAATTTTATATCACAGTTCTGCAGAATTGCTCTAGAAGAGAAATATAACATGTTTTTAATGTGCTATCAGGGAGGTTCATAAAAATGAACACTTGTCTGTACTTCAGTATTATTTATTCAATTTTTTCTAAGTTCTGCTCTATAAACTCATGACTAATGATAAGTAAAACAGATAAGGTAAGCAAAACAAAAATAGACCTTCTCTTCAATAAGATATGCTACATTATCCATTGAAACAACTTCTATAATGAGCAACTGACGAAGGGTTCATGGAACATCAAAGGATTTAATGAACCACCCAAATAAAACACTGAGGCATCTTCAAACTCCCAAATACAAAGCAGCTTTGTTATAGCAGATGTACATATCCAGGGTGGATAACAAAAAATTAAACTCATGGTATTTCATATTTTATTGTAAAACAGCTGAAATAAGGATGTGCCAGGCAATCCCCCAGAATAACTTAGATTTGTTGCCTGGTTTCAGCTTTATTGAAGAGAAGTGCCATTGCGTGGAAGATGATCGATTCCCAGAAGTTTTGTTTCAATAGGATTGTTCCCAGGTTACAAGTCTGCACCATCTCAGCCCTGGCTGTGACCAGAGGCAGCCAGATCTTGCCAGAGGAACGTTGTGGGTGGGAAAGAAAGACTTGGGGGCATCCAAAGACAATCCTGCTGCTTAAGCAGTTACATTACAGACCTTAGCAGAGACCAAGAACTATTCAGCTAGAGGACATCCAAAGTTCCTGAGTCTGTCACTTACAATGCAATGTGTTCCTTCAAACATGAAAAACAAACAAACAAACACACACCACCACAATAAAACCCAAAGGATTGCCTGTGTCAGTGTTAGACGTCAACTGGACAAATGGGAACCTTGACTCTTTCATTAGGTATTTAACTAAAACAGATTAATTCAGCAAAACATCTGCAGCTGGTGGATATACTACTGAAGAGTTCTCAGTGTTTCTGGTGTCCCTCTTGTTAAAATCCATGTAGGTTGAAATGCTGGGTTAGTTAGGCAGCAGTCTGGCTTCACAGGATTTGTTTTGCTATGTGAGAAATGAAGGGTCTTATTGCTGAAAACATGTTTTGGGCTGGAAGCTTGCTTGTCTATTTCTTTAGGATTACAATTATTTGGATGTTTGAGCACTGTATGCATGCTAGTCTATAGCTAATTTCTTGTCGGTGTCACCAGGTGATTTTATATCTTGTTCAGTGAAATAAATAGAGATTTATTTTTCAAAGTGTTTCCGAGACAGGCACAAATCTAATTGCAGAACAGCTGTATAGGAAGATTGAATCTGGCCTAATCAGGGTTTGTGTCACCTCATACCTCACCACCACAACTCTGCTGCTGTGAGCACCTGGTGAATGCAGAGCAGCAGGCAGGGTTTCTGCTCAGTGGCTTTACAGACTGTGCAGGCAAGAGCAGGAATAAATCAGAAAATACCATTTAGGAGTAACAAGTTAGTATGCAAGTACCAATATTTGAGGAGGATTTGGAGGCTGAGTAATATCCTGAGTTATATCCTTTAGAATATTTTGGATAGGGTTTAGTTAAGAAGGGTGGTAGTTACTAGAGACAGTGGAAGAAAGATAAAAAGTCAACTTAGGAAAGGCTGAGGTCACCACAAAGTGACTGGGAAGTTTTCCGAGATCCCCAGGTGAAGCCAACATTCTTTTTTTCTTTTTTATTCCTTTAACTAAGAATGATAGTTTCAAGCAAGAACCTATACTGTCTTTACTAACTCACATTCTAAGTAGGTCAGCTTTCCTGTTGGTGGTCTTCTCATTTGGATGAAGCTTCAGGGCCAGGTGCAGGCCCCCAGTTTGGTGAGGGACAACCTCACAGCCCTGCAGCCTCTCAACAGGGGCTTAGAGTCCCTACGTGTGTCTTTCCTAGCACTGTGCAAACAGAAGTGATAGTTTACTTTCTCCATTTTGAAAAGTTCCAGCTCCCTCCCCTACCTTGAAAGAGGTCTGTAGCTCCATTTAAGATGTAAACAAGTTCTGTTCTGCCGGTTACATGAAATGGGATTGTTGAGAACATCTGTGTGTGCTCTTGCTGCAGATGACACCTGTAAACTAACCTGTGAAAACGGAGGGAAGTGCATTATAAATGAGAAGGGAGATCCTCGCTGTCACTGCTGGCCAAGTTACTCTGGTGAAAGGTGTGAAACTAACCACTGCTACAACTACTGCCAGAATGGAGGAACCTGTGGAGCCTCTCTCCTTGGTAAATATTTCTGAGCAGCTGTATCTTACCTTAATTTAAATGTTTCAATTTGCTCCTTGTTTGTGGTATTTTTTTCTGTGTACTGTAGAATCATAATTTATAACCTATTTGCTTTGTCTATCCTTAAACAATGTGCACTATACCATACGTAGACTTTATCAATAGTGCTTTTCATTCACATGTTTCAGAAGAATTAACCTGCATCCCAGAAAAGGGGGCATGTAAGTAAGCCTTCAGTATGAAGGCACACATGTTGAGGTGTAGAAATGGTATTGTAAAGCATAAGGCTCAGGCAGACTACATCTGGAACACCCCCACACATCTTGCTCTCTTAATCTCAATTCTCCCTCTAAATTTTTACTTGCATACACAGAAGTATTACCTTAAATTACAGAGTTGTGTGACCTCAGTCTTTACATGTGCCTTACTGGAATTCACAAAGTAGGCATTTTACTCTTGTAATTCTCAGAAAGACTTAGTTGATCAGTTCTGACCCTTTTTTTCCCTGAAGGAATTTGAAATTTCATTTCTTATCTTCAGGGAGATTATGCTGTCAAAATGCAGCTATTTGGCAGTTGATCTTTGTCCCTAACACAGGCTGTTGTAGCTTGTATAAAGCAATTAGTCCTTGGGCTAGAGAGGGAAAAAGTGTGATAAGAAGTAGTCTAAAATTTAGTAATTTTGTGAGAAAGGAGAATATTAATTCTATTTTCTGCTCCAAAGAATATTTAAGTGTTTGATTCAAAGTAGAACAGCTGGGAAGAATTTGCTGGCTCATCTCAGAAGCCTGTCAGCTGCTGAGGATGGTGTGAACCATTTTCTCCTGTGATGAAATTACCAATACCCTGATCTCTGTAAGGAAAGTACAGGCACCTGGCTTTAGAACAGGAGTTTGTGAACGTTCAACACAACCTGTAATGTATAATTGTGTGCCTTTGTGTGTGTGACAGAGGGGGCTTAGACCTCAGTGTTTTCCTTAGCACTCCTTACTAATTACCTTCAGCTGATATAGTTTAGTAATTTAGCTTTGTTTGCTGGCTTCTTTGGAGCCTCCTCTTTTATTTGCTGAGACGTAGTGGCAAAAATCTAAACAAATTCAAATCTGTTTTGTAACCTGTTGTGTGCCTAAGAGAGGATTTTTTGAGTTCTGAGCATTTGAGTGTTATTGTTGTTCCTAGTTAATATCTCTAATAATGACTACATATTAGAAAATGACAGCTACTTGCAGATGATGAATTATACTTGAAACTGCTTCTAACAGCTGATGGAAGTACTGACACAAATGATAAGCAGAGATTTTTATCAATGTACGGGGATCAATATGTGTTTAGTGAGAACATGCAAGTGAATGAAAGTAAGTCACTAATTATTTAAATGACATGCAGAACTTCCTGATCATCTGAGGAAAGGATGTTTACTCTCACATCTTTGTACATCTGGCCTTTAACTGATACTTTTGTGTGGTTAAAAGACTTTAAAAAAATTAATAACTAAGCTCCTAGAACTCATCTTCAAAGACCCCAGGGTTTTATTTAATCCTTTCTTTTGGCAGTAGCCATAGGGCTTACCTCCAGCAGCTGTTTTCCTTACTGGGCAGCTGTGCTCACACCTCTCTGCTGTTGCCTGGATTTGTTTTTATTTTCCCTCTTAAATCCAGCTTCTGAAGTTTCTTATCCTTGCTGAAATAATTAGTCTAATAGGTTGGGTCAGTAGTGAGTAAAGGAGAGATATTAACAGATTCTACAATACACTTCTGCTAAGTTGTTAATCATGGCCCCAACTGCTACAGAGGGCCTGGCAGTGCAGGCATTAGCTTTAGTTCTGCTTGGTCATAAACAGGATAATGTGCCTGCACCAGAGATGCATCAGAAGGGCCAGCATGGATATCACCAGAGTCCACCTGTCACTGCTCAGTTGCCTGATTTTTAGGAATTCTAACCTTTAACCGCAACTGAAGTTTGCTGAACCACACATGGCCAAAGTGTGTCAATCTATGAGCCAAGACCTACTAAGAGAAATGTTCTTCTGCTGGGCTGTGTCCCCTTCCCTAGTTTAATCAAACTTTCGTAGTCATATTTCAAGTTAAGCAGATTTTATCTCTGCCATTTCCAGTTGATGAAAGTAGCCATGCCTTGAAGCTCATGCCATAACTTTCTTGTGCTGAAGATGTAGGTAAAAAGACCCTATATCTTTCTAAATCAAAGTGACTTCATTCAGCATTCCAGATAAAATCTTCAAATTGATTCACATCTCATCTTCCTTGCATGCCTCACCCCTGGGCCCTGTAAATATTCTATTAAGAAGAAATCTCTGTTTCTTATCAGACTGTATTTCTTACCTGTATCCAGCCATAAATCACATGTTTCTGAAACAAACTGGCATGTCAGTGAGACATACCTTACCCTGGTATAATCTAATCCATGATACACTAAAGCCATTATGTATCTTACAGAGGAAAGCTAAACTGGATGCCCCAGAAGTATTGAAAATTGTAATTAAGTCAACAAAACTTAATTCTTCAAGTATTTTTGCACCAACCATTTCCTTCTTCCAGCGAAATATACCTCTGGGCAAAGTACATCATTAGTACATCATTTGGTCATTGCATCAGTGAGTGCACATTTAGCTGTAGGGACTACAACACACCATTCCCAGTTTGGACTGAGGGTGTGAAATCCAGAACAGAGCAGCATTCATTCCCTTTCTTCTCCTTGTTACAGCCTTCAAAACAGAGCTGTTCAAGGTTTATGAGAGGGTCATTAGTGTACATGTTACTTTATCCTTGCACGCTGCTACACGTAGGAATCAAAAGGTGCTCAGTGTTTCCTTAAGGGCTGTAGAGCTTAAGCATTTTGTTGTGTCTAGATCTGTAATATTACATCCTAACTGGCTGGCCTGTACACCAGCAATTCGTTGGTCACACAATTTTGGGGGTTTGGTTTTTTGTGTGTTGTTTTGATTTGGGTTTTGTTTCTTTGGTAGAGGATTATTTCACATTTCTGGAAAGTATAAAATTTCTTGTTTAAAAGTCAGCTCAATATAATCTGAAATTCTTCCACTATGCTATTGCTATATCCCATACTACAGTGCTCATAACCAATGCCTCAAAAAGCATTTATACTTGTGATCCATTAAACAACTAGCTCATCAAACTGTCCTGCTAAACAGATGCAATCAAGTTGCATTTATTTTCCCAATTTTCTTTTTTTTTTTTTTAATGTATTTTTTTGCTAAAAATGCTGCAACTTTTCCCTCTGGAAGTTGCAGAAGCCGTAAGTGTGTGAGAGCAAAAAATAAATTACCTGTGACAGTTTCAGCTTCCTTGAGTCTGTCTTTCTTAGAAGCTGTGATTGCCCTTATTGATCCTAGTGTGTTATCCAACTCAATCAGCTTTGATGCAGTTGATCTAACGAGTGTTTTAGCACATGCAAAGCCTTGGGAAAGGTGGGGAATGCCACCCAGGGAGATGAACTTCTGCAAGGTTCCTGCTGCTGGGAGACTTTCCTCTAGGAGTCAAGGAATTTCCTTGTTGTTGGCTTCTGGCTCAAAAACTGAGGCAGAGAGATCCTGAAAATGAACCTTCCATCATGGTCTGAAATAAATGACACAGCATATAAAATTCTCTTCTAGTGAACGTGTGTTCTAGTGAATGTGTAAATCCCCTTCTCTTTCACCACCTAATATATAGTAGTAATGTGATAACCAATTAAGTAAATTGCAGAGTATTACTCATTTTTTAAAACGTGATTGTGCTAAATATTTGCTGGATGTGTTAAATTGTAGAACCTCATTATCAGCACACAAATGTTAATTTGTTAAACAAATCCCACTGGCAATTCGGGGATTATTCACTGCTGGTTTACTTACTGCTAAGCCTTTTGGCAAATTCCTATGTGAACATAATATAGCTAGAGATTGGGGCAGCTTTAATTAAAATTTAGAAGTTTATGACAGTTGTACTGAACTACAATAATTGAACAAAGGAAATGTCATCAGTTAATTAAAAGTACACATCTGAGATGCATAATTAAAAGTTTGATATAATAATGAACACTTTCCAGTAAGCCAAATTAATGGGAAATTGGAATAAAATTAAATGTTACCATAAAAATGCACTTCCTTTCTCCTTACAGTTTAAAGTAAAAACGCTGGAGCAACTATTTACTAAATGTCTTGAACACATGAACCAGATCTGACTAGTTCACAAAATCAGATAAATTCATATTTGTGCTATACTTACATTATGAAGAACAAGTCTAACCACATGTAGTTGTATCAAAATGGGTAAAAAATTGTCTTTCCAGTAAATTAAAAGTCATGCAATATTAAAAAAAGAAATATATAAAAAAAATTGGACATAAAGTAGAAATTGTTTCATGTTCTCAGTCCCAAAGATGCATTGTACATCTTTGAGTTCCCAGGACAGGGATGATGGGAAGGGCAGAGGGCTGATTGGTAGCTGGTGGCAAAGCTCTTGTGCCTGATGCACAGCTGATCCAAGGGTCCCAACAGAACCACCATAACCAGCCTGGTGAGAGCAGCCTTGGAGACTATTCTCATGAATTCCAAGCTTGTTTTTTTCTCCCTTTCTTCCACAACGTGGAGAGAATCTGTATCTGTTGGGACTGATCCCAGTCAGCTCACCTACTAATTATGTAGAGTAATGCAGCTTCTCTTCACTACTGTTGGTTCAGTAAAGCTCATTATAGTTCATCAGCCACACAGAAATGAATTAGTGTGATCCCCACAGATGGCTGATAACTATTCCCAGAGACGTGAAAGTAGAGATAGTACATAGCAAAGTGCATGTACATCCCTTGTAAATCACTGAGAATGGAGAAATCCTGGTCAAAAAAAGATGTGCTGCTTGCTGTCTAGATATTATTACTGTGGTTTTCAAGTCTGAGCATTTACATGTGAAATCCTGAGGATTTGCTGCCCCCTTGTCCCCCTTGCTACTCTTTTTTCAACATGGGTAATTGAAACAGGGAAGTTTTCTTGGGATTATCATGTTACGGAAGACGCTGAAGAGGAGGATATGTGGAAGCTAGGATGCTAATCTGCAATAGGCAAAGGAAAAGAAGATGGTATTCTCATGCAGTAAATCCAGTTGAGGATTGCCCTGAAAAAGGAAAAGCTCAAAATAGGGAAATTTTTGTTTTCTGTCAGAAAATGATTTTTGCTCATTTTTTTTGTACAAAAGGCACCATAAGATCATTGACAGAATTTGAAACAGTTTTACATGCCATAAACCACTTTCCTTACTAGCATTTTTCTATACTGGAATGTCCTATGAATGTTTCTGTGGTGGTGAAGGTCAGGAATTAGGAGACAATTTTACTCCTGCCTCAGTACAGCTTTAATCCTGAAGCTTCATGACCAGTGTAGATGCTGAAGTTCCCTGTGCACACAATTACCATGCAGTGTTTGTTAGGATGTGTGACACCCTGGGTAATGTGACTCTCCTGTGCAAACATCAATCAATATTCTGATTCTGTGGTACAAACCTTTTGGCATTGTTTGTCATTGTTTATTACTGCAATTTTATGAAACTGTTCTTGGAACCAGTTTGTATCAGAAATAATTTATGAGAATAAGGTAGGGGAAAATGTCATGATTAGTATTATTTTAGATGCCAACATTCTGTATATGAATAGGCAATGAACTATTAACATTACTAAAAGTCATGTTAAATTCAGTGACAAAAATGGGGTTTAGGCTATAGTGAATTAAATTTTCATGGAACTGTCAGCAGTTTGGCATATTTATAAGCCTACATGAGCAAAGAATAGAATAATCTTTTCTACAAACTAGGAAAATATCATTGTCCTGTCATTTAAAAAAATAGAGAAATGTTAATAATAAAAACTTATTTCAGACCTGAAGATCTATGTTCTGTCACTATTTTATTTTAACCTTTTTTATTGGAACACTGATTCAGATAAAGGATTATGTTATACCCCCCTGACATAGGGGGAGAAATTGAAACACAAGTGTATATATTGGGAAAAACAAAAAGACTCTGTTCTAACATCTCAATTCAGCACCTTTGATTTAACAGTTGGATCACAGGGGACAGATATGAATAACCAGGCTGATGCATATTAAACTAGTTGGAGCTATTTTTAAGTCAATGGATTTTTTTCCTGCTGTACTCATTAGAGAAAGAGCCTAACTGATCTCATGGCCTTTAGGATGATTTGCAAAACACTTTAAATTAGCATAGCTTAAAATAGAAAACATCGAAAATAATTACATGAAGGATTTAATGTAAGACAAGTAAGAAGCAAGTGAAGGAAAAAGAGTAAATGAATCACTCTGCATGAATCAGAGAGAGCAGAAAAAATGAGGGCACTTCACTTGCATTGAAAAATTCTCCAACAAATATGATACTAAATGATTACACAGTGTTAAAATAAACACCAGAAGAAAGTTAGAATTGTGGGGTTTTCAGTTTAATCTACAGTGCTGTAATGAGACTGCCAATTGAATAGAAAAGGAAAAAAAGGGTGAGAAGATCTGCCCATTTCAGAGTTTTAGGTGCAGAATTCTACTTGCAAATGGGAAAGTAGCTGTGGATACCAACACCAGCCATCAGCACATTAAAGTGAGGAAACAGTGAGGCAAAAGACAGCAAGGAAGGGACCCTGTCATGATGCATCAGTACATCAGGCAGTGGTAAGGATTTCCTGGTAGATCAGTATGAAGATGTGAGATAATTATTTTGGAAAATTAACCTTTAAATGGTATTTCCTTAGAGTGTTTAGGATTTTGGCTCTTGTGTACGTTTTAATCCAAGCCAGGCCCAAGTCAAGCATGGCTCCCTTTGTGTGCTCACTTCCACATCCCGCCACAAAGGAAGGTTGTTTATACATAAGAAGTTAATTTCTGCCCTATGTTGTGTGAAGCTTTTCAATTGTAAATGCAGGGATAACTGGAGTTTCTCCTAGCTAACACGTTCCCTGATCTCTTTTGGATTCCACAGTTGTATCATTGTCTTGACTGGGACGTCGATAATAAAATCCAATAGGCTGTTTTTTCCATTTGTGCCTGCAATTCCAGTGCAAAGGGCACCTGCATCACTCACACAGTACAACATGCAATTAACTTCCTAATCTGATTGACTTTAGCACTTAACACGTTTCTGTGACTACTGGAAGGGATGGGTCTCACCTGTCAGCCCTTTCTCTTCCATGTTAAGTTCTTGATTGTACTTGCCAGCCAGTTGGGTTCCTTATGATTCAAATGAAGACCACCCTGTCTGCCCCTTCATTTCAGAAGTGTCCTCATGTCCTGATTAATCTTCATCTCTTTCCTTACCTATCTTGGAAGACAAAAAGAAGAAAAATATTGTATTTGGTCTGTTTTCCCTAAGTTTAAGAAAATCCTAAGGCTGAACTACAGCAAAGAGAAGGAGGATGGGGGGGGGAAAAAGTGTTTTATAAGAGATAAACAAGAATGAAAGTAGATTATTAGGAAGTGAGAAGGGAGGTGGCTAGTTAGAAACATAAGGTCATTTACTTGAAGAGAAGATTGCAAATGAGATATAAAAGCAAAGTCAGGAGATGGAAAAACATTTATGGGATCTAGATGTTTGTTTTAACGAAGATAAGCCTAAAGAAGAAAGTCAGGGAAGAGTGGATGAGTTTAATAAAGCAGCAGAATTGTAAGAAGGCTATAAATCCTTTAGACATGAGATTTAGATAAGGACAAAAAATAAGAATATTACAATAGGGAAGAATTGTAGGGGGAAATGCATTGGGTTTTAAGCACTATTTTAAACCCCTTTAAAAAGAAGCTATAAACTGGGAGTTCATTTTGTGCAAGTATTTATCCCTAGGTGTTCACTACTTTTCAGACATTGGATACTGAACTTACAGGCATCTTTGGTCTGGTGCAAGACAGTGATTTTAATTTTACCAGATTTATTATTATTTTTTATTATTTATTGTTAACAAAACAGGCACAGATACTTGTGTTTTAGTCAAAATAATGATGTAAAGTTAGTTTTTAATGAATTAGTAAATATTGGTATATTCATGTGGTTATATATAGAGGCCTGTAGGCTTAAGAATAATGGAATTCTGAGGAGGCATTGATGGTGGTTATACAAACACTTCTCATCTGCAACTGGAGGATCCCAGCCTGGCAGTGTAATCTGAAGAACTTGTCATGTCTTAAATTCCTACTCAAGACCATTTTTTAAAAATAATTCCCAAATAAAAAGCCAATGACCATACATGCACAAGTATAAAATGCATAGATGCAGTTTTTGAGGTGTCCATATCTTACAGTGCTGACTTGCTTTTAAAGAAGTGCTGAATTCAGGCAATGTTCGCAATGGGGTATTTTAGTTGAGCCTAGAGAAAAGGGAGTTGGGGTCATACTCAAAAACTTGCTACTGTTCTGATAAATGTAGCTGTCATTAAAGTGCTGTTTATTACCTAATGTTTGTTTTTAGTATAAAATAGTTTCCTTTGGTTCAAATAGGGAGGCCTACCTGCAACTGTGCGCTGGGTTTTACAGGACCAAACTGCAACCAGACGGTCTGCGATCGCTTTTGCCAAAACGGAGGAACCTGCAGTGTCACTGCTGGGAATCAACCCTTCTGCAACTGCTTGTCTGACTACACAGGAGACAGATGTCAGTACTGTAAGTAAATCTTCACCAACTCTCCAATCTGGTTTTAGAACGCAGGTTCTGCAAAATGGAAATTGAACGGGATTTGATTGATTTTTCTACAGCACATGTTGGTAAGCTTAGCTCCAAAATTAAAACTGCTGAGGGAATGGAATCTGATGTATTCAAGTGATCTGGAAAAGTTCTTGTGTGATGTGGCTCTAGGTGACCCTGCCTGGCAGGAGAGTTGGACTAGAAGACCTTTTGAGGTCCCTTCCAACCCCTAAGATTCTCTGTGATTCTGTGTGATCTTTGAACATATTTCCAAAATATCCACCTACAGGTGTAGGAGAAGAAAAAGCTTTATTAGTTATGGTTTATTTTAGTATTTTTACAAATTAGTATGTACTATGGAGCTGTACAAGAAGGCTGACTTTTGCAATAGAAAGAGAATTGTGTTGCACTTTTCTACTTCAGCTTCTCATATTTCTTTTCTTATGCTAGTGAAATACCTATACATAGGAAATTGACATAGTTGGTTGAATAATTTCTCTAGTATCCTTTATCTTCACAGACCATCAATTATCTCCTCAACTGCTGTTACCTTTCATGTTTATTTCTAACCCCAAAAAGCAGCATGTTGACTTTTGAGTTTCCTGCCTCTTCATCTTGTTCAGTCTAAGATCCCCTTCAATATGGTTTCTGCCCCCAGCTAGTATAAAAATTCAGGATTTCTAAAAATTACACTTCCTTAATTCTCAGGATTTAGGTTCAATCCTCCTCCTTTCAACTGACCCATCAGTCTCTTCTCATTGAGATGCTGTTTTCCAAAAGCTTTCATACCTTTAGAAAGGTTCTTCTTGCTTTTTAGCACTTTCTCTAAATTTTTACTTCTTTTACAGAGGAGAAGGAGAAGAAGATTATCAACTCTTAATCCTTCTGTTCTTACTCCATTTATCTTTCTTCTGTCTCCATACTTTCTCTTACCATGAATCACCATTATCTGTTTTCCAGTGACTCGAGGCATGTGAACATAATCTTGAATTTCCTCTTTTGGTTACTCGTTTCAAAATTGCAGTTTGTCTTCCTCATGTCCCTTCAACACGATGACTCAGTAGCAACCCTAACCTAAAACTGATTATTTTTCTAAGAACAGAATTATTTTTTGAATCTTCTTTTTTTATGCTCCTTTGCTTTGACTATAACACTCTAAAATAAGGACTGTCGTAGTGCTTGGTATCACAGAATCTCAGGGGTTGGAAGGGACCTCAAAAGATCATCTAGTCCAACCCCCTTGACAGAGCAGGATCACCCAGAACACATCACACAGGAACGTGTCCAGGCGGGTTTTGAATGTCTCCAGAGAAGGAGACTCCACAACTTCTCTGGGCAGCCTGTTCCAGTGCTCTGTCACTCTCACAGTAAAGAAGTTCTTCCTGATATTTACATGGAACCTCCTATGCTCCAGTTTGCACCCATTGCCCCTTGTCCTATCACTGGACATCACTGTAAAAAGCCTAACTCCATCGTCCTGACACTCACCCTTAATATATTTGTAAACACTGACAAGGTCGCCCCTCAGTCTCCTTTTCTCCAAGCTCAAGAGACCCAGCTCCTTCAGCCTTTCCTCATCAGGGAGACGTTCCACTCCCTTAATCATATACTAGAACATTACATGTGAAAGCCATAACCTCTTTTGTACTCAATTTGGTGAATTTGCTAAAGAAGGCTACATTTAAACAGAATTTAAAGAAAAATAGCTGTTATGAAGGTCTAGTTTAGGATTGTCTGCAAGATGCAAAGAGTAGTTTTAGTGAAAGGTCTGTCAAACAAGGAAAGGGTTAGTGTGTATCTTAAATAGGATTTATACTGAAGTAAACTGAATGGATTTCCAGTTGGGAGACTATGAAATAATTGAAACCTTTGAATGGAAAACGAGCAGTAATTGTGATTCTTTCCTACTTAGTATTAAACAAGCTGCATGGATCCACAAATAACTATCTGCAAACACAACTGGGTATTTGAAAACAGCATAGTACAGAAATCATGCACAGACAGACACACAGATTAAGAAAAAATATTTACTTGAGGCTTATCCAAAACCAAACAAATTGTTTCTAGTTGAATGCTTCTGCAAACTTTTTATTATTTTTTTTTAAAGAATTAATTTAAATGTAAATTTAAGGATACTTTTTAGGCAGTGCTTATTATCAGATTTGGATTGTCTGCTGACACTTTGGAAAAATGCCACAATACAGAGACTTGAACACATTATAAAAAGCAAAATAAAATTAAGCCTTTTTTTATTTAAACCTTAATACTTCTAAGGAAATAAAGTCTTACAATCTTTTAGCATATATTTTTTTTATGGCCAATAAGGTTTCTATGAAACTGTACAGGTTTACACTTAATAACGTTTATATGAATTCACACCCATGACATTTTTTTGCTTTGTTCACAGATATGTATGGTTTTGTGCTTTATTAATCACATTCACTTTCCATGTTAGAATACATTAGTATAGCATTACTGCAAAGATTGGTTGCCTCTAAGATACCTTTCTCAGTCTTTCTGTGATGTTATTGAGCCTCGTTCATATGCAAAGGATGATGGATGAATGTGAATAGGTATTTTACACATGCTCCCAAGCTGAAAATATTATTAGTGTTTTTTATAACAGGGAGAAGACATTTACTTGCAGTATTGCCAGATTGCAAAGACCTTATTTTCCTCATACTTATCGTCTCCGATTACCCAATGCAGAGTTTCTTCTGTGATTAGCTCACATAAGGGCTAATAATGAAAATGTATGCTCTGTGTCAAGGCACTGGCTCTGCTGAAATAAATTTAAGTGAATGAATTTGCATAGAATTCCACTAACGTCGTGCGTATTATTATAGACACATGCAGTTGATGTATTTGAATATAACTCCCTATTTTAAACTCCTGAAAGAAGATATACAGACTAGTTAAAGTTCATTTATTGTATCATTTAAGGCCCAAGGATCCTAAAAAATAGAAACGTTTTCAGGCAGTTACAATCATTCAAAGGGAATATGGTGATCTCATGAGCTGTCACTGTCCCTGAAACTAAAATTCCTTTCTTTAGGGGGGAAAACAAATAAATATATATCTTGGGTGTTGTTTCAGTCCAAATGTAACATATGCATTTAAGATAGAGCAGAAGATTAAAGGTGTTTATGGCTACAATCTATACTAACAACCAATATTTTTATTATTTTTTTTTAACATGAACTTTCTCTTCCTAAATGTTTTATTATTTTGGGGGGGCAGGAGAGGGTGTCTTCATGTAGATTGAAACATTTCCCCCTTGCAATGCGTTTTTCCTAAAACGTCTCTCGATATTGGCTTTCCAACTGCAGTAGTTTCTGTTCAGAAAACAGCCCCCTGCTGCAAATTACCATTCTATGACTTGACTTGGGGAATGGCAAACAATGACCTACTTCATCGGGTGTCTTTCAAGCTCCCTGGTTGCTCAGGAGTGACTCCATAAGTAGATTAATCTACATAAATAGGTGGAGGCAGACAGGGAATAATCAAACAAATCACTTTTCCAGCAGTTGGCTGCTTGGTTGGGCATGGCAGTTGGTTTGTACTTCTCTGAGAGGGGAGGAAACTGAGCACAGAGAAGCATAAACAAAATATTTCTCTCTTCATGAGATACCCTCACAAATCAGACATCTTGAATACACTTAGTAAAATATATCCATTTTAGTAGTCTCCAATTTGCTGCTTACGACATCCCCCCCCATTCAAATGACAGCTTGAGAGTTTGCACTTCCAGCTTCAGGGCTCAAGTTGCCATTTGGCCACGGTTTCCTTCTCTAGTGAACAGCTTGATGATGTCCTGCTTCTGCCTGCTACTGACTCACCTTCAGGCATACCTTGTGCTGTAAAGGACTTGAATTTTTTGGTTTTGAAAGAAAGGCAATATTTTATTAATATGGACTAGTTTAAGCTGATACAGATGCATAGTTGAAAACTGAGACATCTTGTATATCCATATCTGTCAATCAAGAACAGCACCAAAAGCTCAATAGAACATGTTGACTACACAGAACTGGTGAAAGTATTGGAAACAGGGAGAAATACAGACTTTGGATTATTTGGCCCCGTTACGAAGTTTAAATCACAAGGCTTAAGAAACCCCCACCTGTTTGATCAAAAGAAAATTGTGCCTACCACATAAATGCAACTGAACCCAAATCATAAGATACAGGTATTTTGTATCTCTGGAAGCTTCTGCAGTCAGACAGCCTGATTCTTTTATCCTATGAAAGAAAGGAGACAGCAACTGGCACTTCACAAGTGTGGAAGAATTCACTGCTTGAAATCTCAGACCTGCTGACATTTAAGCAGTTAAATGAGATGATGGGGTCTTGTATGTAGTTTGTTGTAGAACTTACAGCTTATGGCTTTATATATTATTCTTATTAAAACTTCATGAAATTTTAATATGTGGATAAAAGAAAATAAAAAGTAATTATTTCAGAATACTGTTTCCACTTCAGTTTTGCATTATGCTCTTAATGCTAACGTGACTGTATCAAAAGAATTTTTTTCAGCCAGTGTCCCATTAAATACATTAACATTGCTCTGCTTTTCTCATCAGTAGTCTTTATATTATGTGGAATAATGCCATAAAGGTTTAGACATCTAGAAGTTGAAAAGAATAATGTATTATATGAGTTTATCCATCCATTTCACTTCTGAAGACCACCTCGTTAACTTGTTATGTATCTATTTATGGGGTGTCCTTGATTCTTGTAGTTGCCAGGGAGGCAACAGCTTCATTCATCATTTTACTTTTTATTAAAGTACCTTTTAAAGCATCAAAAAGTAAGGTATTATTCTTTGTGTGACACTCCTAAATTTCTTTTAGTAAGCAGCTTCCATCTTGCTTGCAGATGTTTGTCACCACTATTGTGTGAATTCTGAATCATGCACCATTTCTGATGATGGAAGCGTAGAATGTGTCTGTCCAGTAAGATTTGAAGGTCCAAAATGTGAAGTGGACAAGTGTATCAGATGTCATGGGGGACACTGCATAATAAACAAGGACAGTGATGATGTAACATGCAAGTAAGTGTGTGTGTGTGGGGTGTGGCTGTATTTAAAATTGTATATTTAATAGCTATTATATTCCATTATCCTTTAAATCTCTTACACAGTTGCCAGCTCCTGAGTTGGTCACATCAGAATGGTTCCTTTGTGTGACTTCTACTAACTCAAAATCCACTGACTCCTGCCTTTCTAAATCAACTTTTGGAGCACTCCTCATGGTGGGAAGTATAATGTAGCAGGAGACTAAAAGGGTCTTCACTTGGAAAAATTAGAATATTTAAGAACATTGAGAATTATCGCACTATTGAAATTTGTTCATTCTGCAGTATCAGTGATAGTGATGGAGACATATTTTGTCCTATGGCAAGCATATGTAGTAAGATGTGCTGCTGTATTGCTGAGTGACTATTATATATAATCTTCATAAAAGAAAATATTTAAATATTTGGTGTGATAAGCTCACTGCCTGTACTAGCTTTTCAACCTAGAATTCTGCCAATCAGTAGATCTTATACATATCATACAATCCATATTTTAGTGTCTAGATAATTAGAAGGGAATTCACCAGATTTAATGCAATACTGATTGCTATTGGTCTTTTTTTTTTTTTTTAACCATGATAGTTGCACTAATGGAAAGATTGCCTCTACCTGCCAGCTATGTGATGGCTACTGTTACAATGGGGGAACATGTCAGCTGGACCCAGAGACAAATATACCTGTCTGTCTGTGAGTATCCTGCATTGTGTAGATCAAGAACATGTCCGTGTGCCAACAAATAATAAATTTTTTATGCATTTGACTGTATCATTTATCTCTTTAGAATGTATAATGTGCTGGTTACAGTCATAACTTACAGTACTTTTTCTAGCTATTAATATTTTTGCAATATGTGTATTGAAAGTTGTAAAACTAAGATATATATTTTGAATGCACATAGATAAAAAGAGGTGCCTTTTGAGACTTGTAATTATTTCAGGTCAGATCTAAAGCCCGTTTAGGCATTTGTATCTGGAATGGAATCAGGATGGTTGCCTGCCCTGCTTCTCAAAGGTGGATGAAGTCTTTTCTCCTTAAAGATGGTCAGAAGTGGGAGTGCTACACTACTGTAGGGAACCTGATGGCTAGAGAATAGGAAGAATATTGTCAGTGTTTATTTCCTTTATGGGTCTGAGGATTTGCTCATGTGTCTCTTGTTTCTGCCCTAACCTTCACACTGCCCACAGTAGCTTGGCTCTTTTGTGGTGAGATTGTCCTCCTCTTCCTGCACCCTGGTTGACTTAAAAATTCAGGATGATTTTCTTAAGCCCAGACATGAAAAGAGAATCTTTAGTATAGAATGTGAAGTACTGCCTTGAGAAGTAGAAAACCCTACATGCTAGCCCTTTCCTGAGAGCTATGGTGTGTCTTCTGTTCCAGCTATTAAATCTAAAATACAGAAGTAGTCATTGTAGCAAGAAAATAATTTCTTTCCTGCTCTCAGTCACACTGAGCTAGCTACTCAAAATCCAGGTTTTTCTTAATTTTAACCTTCTGCACTCCAGAAAAGCTTCATTGTGGAATACTCTGCCATGTCTCACAGCAACCTGAAGCTCATAGTGTTCTCCAGGAACATATTGAATCATACAGAATGGTTAAGGTTGGAAGGGACATTAAAGATCATCAGGTTCTAACCCCCCTGCCATGAGCAGGGACACCTCCCACCAGACCAGGCTGCTCAAGCCTCATCCAACCTGGCCTTGAACACCTGCAGGGGGAAGGCTTCCACAACCTCCTTGGGCAACCTATTCCAGCATCTTACTACCCTCATGGTGAAGAATTTCTTCCTGATGTCTAACCCAAATCTCCCCTCTTTCAGTTTAAAACCATTATCTCTTGTCCCATCACGATCTTCTCTGATGAAAAGCCCCTCCCCAGCTTTCCTGTAGCCCCTTCAGGTACTGGAAGGTGCTCTAAGGTCTCCCTGGAGCCTTCTCTTCTCCAGGCTGAACAGACCCAACACTCAGCCTGTCCTCATAGCAGAGGTGCTCCAGCCCTTTGATGATCATCGTGGCCATTCTCTGGACCCTCTCCAACAGGTCTATGTCTTCCATGTGCTGAGGGCTCCAGAGCACATGAGGTGTTGGAAGAGAGAATTGGACTTGAGTGTCTCATTTCCAAGGTGACATAAGTAAGTTGTTGTCCAAAGGGATCTGGCATTATGAGACAGACCCATCCCTTTGTTTTTACCATGTCCATGGAGCAGGTGGTCTTAAAAGAGAGTGCCTGTTGTATTCAGACTGTTAAGGAAGTTGCAGAGAGAAATTCCTAGATACTGTAGTCTGGCCAGTGTAAGAGATGGACCAGCTCTTTCCTCCTTGTGAGAACTCAAGTGCTTCTGAATGTGCAATGGGGCAAAACTGTGGTTGCTGCGCTATGGAGAAGTTGTCAATAGATGTTTGCAGCTTTGGGTTTAGAGACAGTGGAATGCAATTCTGCACGGTAGTCCTTATTCACCTGAAAATGCTTTAAGTGCCTATATGTCTCATTATTATTTGATCCAGTCCTTTTTACCTGTTATTTGTATATCCTTTAATGTCTTTAGCTGAGAACTAGAGAGACTAGTAAATCTCAGGAGAAGTGGAATATCACATTTATAATATGTAAGGCCCAAATATGATGATCAAGTCTTGTGATTTGTTTGCTTAAACACCTAGAAATGGCTCTTTTGGAAGCTTGTGATTCTCCTTTTCTTTTTTCCTTATAAAACTAGCTTATTCTTTTTCATGTGGAACACCATAGCATCTCAAGGAAAACAAGGTTAATACATAAATTTGTGTATGGGTTTACAAGACATAAATGCTGCAGCTGTTAGCAATGCTAAGAAAGTCATAAATCCATTGCAGTCTGGATTGATCAATAGAAATTATTAGTACATTTGACAATAATGCTTCAAGACTGTTCAGATTCCTGAACCCATCAGTGAGTACAGGCCCAGTGTTTTATCAGTGTGTGATCAATGCTGATGAGCAAACTTTTCAGTACAGTCAGATTGGACCTCCCATGAAAAACAGTTGTAATTTTGTTATCTGTGGGTGTGTGTCTGTGTGGGTGTCTTGCCATCATGATATATAATGCGTTTAAAATCTGTTCAGCAAAAGGTAGATTATTTATATAGGTCTATTTTACTGAAATTCTGCAGATGCTCTGTGGGGTTTAAAAGTCAGCGCTGTGACCAGAAAGTGAACCCTTGTGATTACTACTGTCAGAATGAGGGAATTTGCACTTTAACTGCGTTTAATGAACCGAGATGCAAGTAGGTTTAACCTTCCACTTAATGCTGCACATTCTGTGACATCATTTCAGGCCACAGTTCATTGGTTCAAGTCATGCACATTCACATACATTTCACAATATATACTTAATCTGGGGGCTCGTTTGTGTAATACACACTTACCCTTTGATAGTGGCACCAATGAGTATATTTAAACATACTTTTGGAGTGTCTATATCTTTGGAGGAAGGAATAACAAGTTTTATTTTTAATAATGGCTTTTATTGCTCCTATTTTGAGATATTTTACCAAGTTAATCCTACACAGCATAAATTTTAGCAAACAGTGATGTTGCATGTGTTCTGTAGTCCAAAACTGATTTCCTCTACCCAGGGAAAGGAATAGAAGAGCCATTTAGGTACCATTTCAGGAGTTAAGCTTGTATTCTTAAGTTTACTTGTTAATTTATGGAAATAATACTGTAAAATAGAAACTGTTATACAAAAATATGTGAGCTACATCATAACTTTGACTTTTCCTCTGATTAAAAAAAAAGTGTATAAAGTAGACACATTGTGTGCTGTATTTCTCTGAAGGATTTAAAGAGGAAATTTAAAAGAGAAAATTTTAAAGAGAAAAAGGAGGGATTTCTCTGTTTCTTAAAGAGAAAAATCTGAGTCCTCATCAGGGAAAGAAACAACGTTTGTCTTTGAAAATGCTGTAAGGCAGACATATACAGAAATGAAATACCAGTCAGATGAGCATAGCTTTACTCAGCAATTGTGATGCAAAAGTCAGAATTGAAATGATGAGCTAAAGACGGAGACTTGGGATAAAACATGAAACTCCAACAGCTTTAATCTTATCTCATCTAAATGCATGCTTGATGAGAACATAAAAAGCTGTGGGGATGTGATGTGGTTGTCTGGTGGGTAGCACTGACTAGGTATGGTGAATAATCTAATTTATTTTTTTTTTAAATGTGATCATAGTTCCTTTGTCAGTGTTCTCAAGCAATGAAACTCTCTGACGTGAGCTGTCATAAATCCACTGCAAAGTAGATTACTGTCCTAACTACCACTTCTTAATCTTTGAAAAGCAGGGAGTGGGTCTGGTGATAAGGATTTGGGTGGGACGTGGCTGCTTGGAGCACTGCTTCCTCACACTCTGAATATAAAGCACAGCTAGAAATAGTGTTCCTGTTGTTTCTTCAGAGGGGTTGCTGGGTTGGTAGCATTAAGAGAGTCTTCTGAATTGTTCCTTTATTTACAAAAGCAAGGTGGATTAGAGGAAAGGGAAGAGAAGCAAATAGAAGTTGTTTGATGGAGGTGAAGACAGAGTGACACAGGAGGAAGCATGTTTCAGTTCTCCTTGCCAACCTCAGTTCAAGCTCCAGTTGTTCCTGGTATCTTGTGGTTTTCTAGTGCTGAATTACTTCCTAACTGGAGCCTGTTTGTAATTTTACCAATCGAGTACTGACAAGTAGGAGACCTCAGGAAGGCATGAAGCAATTCTATGCTTCACAGCATAGAGTCATTGTCAGCCAACAGGAATCTCAGAGATGTTTCCTGTAGGTTCTGCTCCATTGTATGAGGAAGATGGTTTATTTGTCCAGCCTCCATGTCTGGCCATGTGACATGTGACTTCTGTCTCTGGTCTCTGAGACACAGCTAAGGGCCAGCAGTTTTTGTAAGCAGTCTCTAATTCATAGGTGGGTGATGTTTAGAAGAAATAGGAAATGGGTGGATTTATTGTCATCCAGCAGGAACTCCTCTCTGTCTCACAACCAGATCAGTCAAGAATGCAAACTTCATACATAACTAAGCCTTTACTATCATTCAATAAAGACAATACAGGATAAGATTTATTATTTTTTTTTACAGGGCAGTCCTTAGCCTTAATTATATAGAGGAGCTATAAAACTGCAAGATCATACTCTCCTTTTACCAGCCTGTGCTCTTAGTTTGTTGTGTTGGGTTTTTTTAACCTTGAATGCACTAAATATTAGATGCACATTGGAGATAGAAGTTGTGCTTTTCACATAAGCAGTTTAGGACTGAATTAAGGCCTCACTGGCTGGATATAAGCCACCAAAAAGCAAGGTTGTGTGAAGTTGTTCTCCAGTTTCTTCTAATGCTCTGTCAGGTTTTAAAAGATGCAGAATATGCGGTGATTTCACTTTGGATATAAAATCCTACACAATCTAGGTGATTAATTAGCACTGTTTTTAGGAATATGAAGAGCAATCTTCTCCCCCTATCCCCTCTTATTGTCCTTCTTGCTCATTAACAAAGTTTGCAAGATAATTTAATATCCGACTTAAAATTTGAGGTAGTGACCTTTTCTGAAAAATGTACCACCAAGAGTGTCTTTTAAAGAAGAATTATCTTACATGTAGTAAGTATCTTTTTAGCATTCACATACTAAGTTTTTAAGGATATTTTTACTCACTGAGTTGTGGGTGTGTGTGATGTGT